ATGCGGGTCACACAGGGAGGCCAGGGGAGAAGTGTGAAGGACTGGACAGAGGAGACGGTGACCGCAGCTGAGAGGGAGGGTCTCCTGGGTCAGGGCGTAGAGAAGGAGGAGTCCCACTTCCCCAGGCCCTCCGAGGGTGCTGTGGCTCGGATATGAGTGACCCCAGGTCCCTTGTGTTAAGGCCTGGTCCCTGCTGGTGCTACTGGGAGGAGGTGGGGCCTTCAGGAGGGGTGCAGGGAGGCCTCAGGCCCGGGGTGAGCCCTTGCAGGGATGAGGGACACCTGCCCCTTCCTGCCTCTCCTCCCTGCCTCCCAGTGGCCGTGAGTGGGAGGACGTGCTGCCCTGGCCCCCTCCAGGTGGGCTGCCTCGCACAGGCCGAGCCAGCAGGGCCCGCACCAGGCAGCTCGGGCTGTGAGCCCACACAGACCTCGCCTCTGACGGTGATGGCCACTGGGGTTCTGTCACAGCAGAGGGCTGACCGCTCGGGTGTGGGGGACCATACCTGCGGGTGTGAATGAGGGCTGGGGACCGGATGGTCACAGGGCCTGAGAGGCCACGGATGGCAGCCCCTGATGGGGTGGTCACAGGAGAGGACCCGCTTGGCCCATGCAGGGCGAACGTGCTCGGGTGGGAACGTTCCTTTCTGTCATGGAGCAAGGGGGCAAGGATGTGGGCAGTCCCTCCCTTTCTGGACCCCTGTGGGACCACTAGCTCCTGGCCGTCCAGAGGAGTGGCCCTGGCAGTGACCAGGGGTCCACAAGGTGCTTGCATTCCACAGGCTTGCCCAGTGGAGGGCAGGAGAGTTGGGGTCTAGGACAGTAACTGCTGTAAGTTGGTGTGAGCCACTCAGCCCAGGCAGCAAACAGACCTCACTGATTTGAGTTTTGCAATGAAAAAATGCTGCTTTTGTACTCAAAATATGCAAATTGGACTTGTAAGGGCAGCTTGGGGGGTGGCAGAATAAGGCCCAACTCTGTAAAGACCTGCCGGAAGTGGGGTGGTACGGCGGCTAGCGCACGGGGTTGGGCTGCACTGCTCCGCTCAACCTGGCTCTCGCAGCTGGCAGCCTGGGGCAAATGACCGGACCCAGCCACAGGCCCTTCTCCTGATGCTGGGGAGGTGGGGATGGCTCACCTGCTCCCTGGCATTGCTGTGAGGTGACAGTCTGGGCCAGTCTCGTCCACCTAACCAGTCACAACCCTGGAGCTGGACTGTCAGGCGTCACCCACCCTTGGGGGAGGAGGGAACTCCCACAGGGAGACGGGCTGCAGGGGCGGGGGCCGTGTGTGACTTTCTGTACTCCCTGAGTGACCAGTGGGGAGACCTGGGAGAGAGGAGAGCATCGTGCGATGCCCTTGCCGTCCAGTTGTGAGTAAGGGGAGGAGCTGCTGGTACCCAGTTCCTGAGAGGACGCCCGTTCCAGTGGCCATCCAAGGCTTTAATTGCAAAGTGATCAGCATTAGATGAGATGGGAATGCTGAGGTCCTGGCTGGTCAT